TATGATAAGGGTCTCTCAGTCACTTGTGGACTACTTTGGTTAAATTTACAACTTATACTTGTAAGTCCACTATTATCTAGAACATGTTTTACTCTGAAATGGGCTGCAAAGCATTTAACTCAAATTCAGTTTTCCTGCTTAACACAGTGACGGTGAGACGATGCTTCAAAACACGACAATCTTATTTATATAATAAATGCAGCAAATGAGTTCCACTTGTTCCGCCAAATAGCTCACGGTCCAGCAGCTTTATGCAAACCGCATATAAACCGACTGTTGTGAGTCACTTCGTGTGCTGCACAACCACAACAAAACACCGGACAGACGTCTTTGAACCCGCGTGAGAACTCAAAGCGAAAAAATTGTTTAAAAAAGGAAGAAAAAAAAAAAAAGCTTTCCGAAGCCCGGTTCCTAACGGAGCGTATTTCACCGCTTATCCTCGCCGTGCATTTGCATACAGTTGACGGAAACCCCTGAGTACAGTCAGCAGCATGACAGTGGGTTATGAAGGCTTCCGGGAGGCTCTGGGGTGTGGATCTGAGCCAGTTTGAAGGGGAGCCGAACCAATGAAGAGCCCACAGCGGATTAGACACCCACAGCTTCATGTCGCTTTAATGCGGCGAGTCAGGGATTTTCTTACAACGCCTTTGCCTAAACGCTCAGGTTTTTTTTTCCCCCCCGTGCCACTTTTTCTCTCTCCTTCCCCTTTTTCTTGAAGTCTTATTTTCTACATAAATAGCAGAGTAATGTTGTCTCCGGTGCAACGCGCCACATTCATCTACGTGGACTTGTCGGATGCAAACTGGAATTGAATCGGATTAATAGTGATGATCCAAACAACTTTTCCTTTCCCAAGAGTGATATGAAAAAACATTTTCATGTGGTAGAATAGCAGGTGTACTTTTAAGCCCACGTATTCATTTTCTGTCCAAGACAATTCAGCGTCCGATACAAAACCAAATGCAAATACTGCAAGACCGCTAAGATAATTCAGAAAATACAATTCAAATTTAATACCCACACGAACACACACCTCAAATTCCCCAGATAACGGCCTGACTGGCGGAGGCTAAAGACAGAGTAGGCGTCCGTAATTGAACAAACACAACAATGCAAATATTTACTAACACCATCCATTGGGAATACAGGCCAAATCCCACAATTGATTTGCTCTCTTTCTGCCCCTTTGCTCTTTTCTTCGCACACACAACACGCCAATTCGCACACACTAACAAGCACTCTTTTTTTTTTTCTCCCACCGCCGTTTTCTTTCCTCGGTATCTTCCTCGCCTAATGTTCATGAAAGAGCCGGTAGAGATACATATCGGTCCGTCTAGCCTCTTACCAGGGGTGACCTGTAGCCCATCTGGGCTGGCGATGACAGGAGATCCCTGGGAAATAGCGGCGAGTGCGTCTCGGGGGCCGAGCCCACGCCACTGGCTGCTAGTCCCGAGAGCTGCCCGTACCTCGCCATCATCCTGAGATGCTGCACACAGAACACTCATACACCGGACACAGGAGGGGAGAGGGAGGGAGGGAGAGGGAGAGAGAGAGAGAGAGGGGGGAGGGAGGGAGAGGGCGGGAGAGAGAGGAGCGATAACAGCAGGTAGGAAGGGCGGTGAGAATGGTAAAGGACAGAAGAGGGAGTGGGGAGGGATGGGGCGGGGGAACATGAAGGGGTTGGGGGGGGGGGGGGGACTACAGAACACTTTCCTCTGCACAAATGCACGTGTAAACACACGCGCACGCACGCACAGACAAGGGTACTGTACGTGCACGCAAAGGCTCACACATACAATCTTGGCCCCAGGTGGGGCATCTCACCAGCAAGCCCACGTTGGATGGGTTTTGTTACAATAGAGTAAGTGGGCTCTTTGTTATTACGGGCCAGGTTCTCTGCCCCCCCCCCCCCCCACCCCTCCGCCCCCCTTTTTTCTTCTTCCGAAATATATATAACAAACAGCTGCTGTTATCAATCACCCACTCTGTCTCGCTACTATGAGCATACAGAAATGCAATGGCACGCACGCGCACGGACACACGGACCGAATGGTCGGCAGCAGACAGCGCGCAGGTGAAGCGTGAGAAGAAGCAAATGTCTTTTACCTCATTGCTCAACAAGCCGGCGTTGAGTGTTCGGCTTATTTCGAACATGTTTCGGCTTCGGTGCTTTTCTCTTTCTTTCTTTTTTCGTTCTGTCCGTTTATTTTCAGATTCTCTTCAGGTCTTTGGCTCCCCGTGTTCTTCTCTGCGGCTGGGAGTCAGTCCCGGGAAAATCAGGAAGAAGAACAACAACAACAACAAAATGAAATAAATAATAATAATTAAAAAAAATCCCCCTTAATTTTCTGATTTTGGAGTTGTGGTTTTTTTTTCTCAGCGCTCTCTGTCGGTGCGCCTCTCTGCGGGCTCGTGCTGCCGTTTGTGTCCAGGGTCTCCACGCGCGCGCCTCTCAAAGTGTCAGCGCATAAAAAAAGCGGCGGGTCGGTGGTCGGTCGGCGGGTCGGTGGTCGGTCGGTGGGTCGGGCTGTGCTGGCTGGCTCCCCCTTATCTGTCCCCCGCACACTGGCTCACGCAATACGCTCCGATCCTCACACTGCTCGCTAGCAGATTAGCCTGTCCCAAAACATAGCACTTAGTTTAAACTCCCCTCCCTTTTGCTCTCTCTCTCTCTCTCTCTCTCTCTCTCTCTCTCTCTCTCTCTCTCTCTCTCTCTCTCTCTCTCTCTCTCTCTCTCTCTCTCTCTCCATCCCCTCCCTCTCCCCCCTCCTCTCGCTCACGCATTGATGCAGCTACAGTTCACCGTGCTGCCACAAGGTGGGAAGACTGTTCCAGCAACAGCGACACCATCTCTCGCCACATCCCTTCTTCTCCTCGCCACTCCTATCTATTTTTTTTTTTTTAATTCTCCATCTCTTCTCCCCTTTTCCTCTGAAAACACTGGTAGGCTGTAAACGACGATGACTGTATCAGACCACAATCGTGAGGATAAGCGGATTGGTTGAGGGGGGTGTGAGGACTGATGTTGTTCGGCCCTGTTATCAAATTATGACTCATACAACAAAACAAGAAATAAAAACAAACAAACAGGATGTTGATTCCAGTGGGGGGAAAGAAGAACAGTCAAAGACTTCTGGAGGGGGGAATAATTTAGCAGTACCTTTTTGGAGGTATTTTTTATGTGACAGATACATGTAAAAAGCAATGGAATGGAAGGAAAACCTGCACACTATTGGAGAGACCTCAAGGGAGTACCAAATAAATGTTACCTCTCTGTAAGGGGCAGCAAAAGGGGAAGGGGGGGGGGGGAGAAAGCGAGGGCTGGGCTGATGCCAGCATCAAGGTCAGCTGGTTGTCCTCTTCCTCAGCAGGGTGTGGCACAGAGATGACGAAGCAGCTACCAGTCACGGGCAATGGCAGGAGATCCCGACAACTGAACGAGTAAACAAGAGAGGTGGGGAGGGGGGCATTAGGGAGACTGATTCACCACGTGGTTTGGTTTCAGTCTGTATCCATCTGTATAGAGTGTGCATGTAACACACCTTCATGAAGCCCATGAGACAATAAAGCAGGGCCAAATGCTTTACGAGATTGATGCTGACGGAGCGATTGGAACCGTCTTCACGGATTCGCTAATCTTAGTGGTGTCTTCCTCGCAGCAAAGGATTTATTCCCAGCGCTTTGGATGTGCTTTTTCCCATCTCGGATCAGAGCAGGGAGAGCGGCCATTTAATAGAAGCCTTTTGACACTGAACCATCTGTTTAGGTGGACACAGTCCAGCATGGCAGAGAGGGAGAAAGGGACGGAGAGGCAGAGGAAGCGAGGGATAAAGAGAGAGGAGAGAGTGAAGATTAATGGGTGAGAGAGGTAACAGCGAGTTTTTACGCAAAACAGGAAATGGAAATGTATGAGACTAACACTTCCCGAGGATGCGCCACGTAGTACTGTAATGTTTTTAATTAGCACATTTTTCTCTTTTCACATTTTCACCAGTAGCCGGATATGCGGAAGCCTCGTCTACAGTTTTGCTGTGCTGGCTTCAATTCAGTTTTTTTTTTCTTTCTCTCCTTTCCCTGAGAAAAGGGCTGCTAGCCACATCTCTGTTCTGTAAAGTCCACGGTCTCTAGGGGAGGCTGGTCCTGCAGAGCCCCCGGGAGAAGGGGGAGAGGGGTGGGAGGGGGCTGTCAGTCAGATCACCCCAGAGTGAGAGCGCTGATTCCTCAGTCAGCTGCCTCTCAAGCCTGCCTCTCCTGACCAAGTCTCACTCCCCTGAGCCCCCAGATTGCTGTCACCATAGTGATTCTCTGTGTCCTGGCGTCTGCCCCCCCCCCCCAGCCAAACCCACCCCTCCAAACACCCAACCCTGTCTCTCCCAACCATTCGTCTCCAACTCGCCGCCACTTGTGTCCTTGATTTTTGCATGAATTCCTTCTTCATTGAAAATGCCCTTTATGTGTGGAAGTCCTAAGCTGGCCACAGTAAAAGGGTTTTCCTGCACTTGCTGGAAAACAAATACCAAAACATAGATTTGTCCCCAAACACACACACACACACCTATATACACACTCTTGCGCACGCATACACTTACACACAGCTTTAGGCTGAAACGAAAACAAGACTTTTTTTTTCTTCTTTCCTTCAGTTGTGGTACTGAGCTACAAGCACTGACTTATTTGATCATTTCACAGTTTAGAAGAAAAAGTATCTTTCTGAAAGAGTGAAAGAAGAGCTTAAAAATACCTTTCCGGTGCCAGAGCTACTGTTCCCCCTAAGGGGTTCTGTGACTCGATTGTGATGGTTCACTGTGTCCTCCAGTCGCTCGCCACCCACGCTTAAAATAGCCAGTTTCTCAATGTTACATTCAGTATTAATCCATGACAGGGATGTCTACAAGTGAAGCACATTCACGTGTTCAGAAATCATTAGGGGTCAGAAATGTTTGGATAAGCACATAAAATACGCTCTCCTGAGAGTAATTAAAATATGAAGGACCACGGTGGACTGTGCTTTTCTTTAATGCAATCACGGTTTCCAGAGATGGATGTGTTCATTAAATCATTCCTGCACAATTCCGATATTATGACGAATAAAACATATAGGCAGGGGGTAGGGAGGTTATTGTTGAATGTTAAATAATTTTCACCTTATTCAAACACGTCATGAAAGAGGACACGATAGGGAGCACAGGAAAAAACATCACAAGGTAAAGTATTTGCTGCAACAAATACCATACTTTTACATCTTATTACATCTAATTGTTTGTAATAAATGGATTTAAATACATTTAAATATATTTTTTAAACCGTCTCCTTGATTTCAGTTTCCCTTTATAACATGACAGCCTACAAAAAGATCTCATAAGGAATAGCCATGTCGGACAGATCATGTCAGTTTTGATTGTAACTGTCATACTATTGAAAAATAATGTTCTCATGCAAATCCTGTCTTTTGCAAGCCAACCGCCAAATGTGAGTTTGAGCATAAGCTCTGGCAGAGACGAGCAGGGATCCTGCGATACATTCAAGCATATGTAGTCTCTCTCTATTTGATAAGAACTGAGAAACAAGGGAAACATGTAGCGTATCTAATTCATTCTTCTCATGCTCCATAATTCAATTTCAATCTCCCTCTTGAAAATGAATGATTGTACCACCATAGAGCTCTTTAATTGGCATAGTGTTCAAGGAATGACATAGCATGGAGGACAGCTATTCAATTTTCAATTTTAGAGAAATATTACACAGTAGCTCTGTATTCTCTTCCTGTCATCTGAAAAATAATCAGTCTGACCTATCTACTCAGTGGCCTGTTGATGCTCGCCATCAAACACAGATCACACACAGAGAAAAATCATTGCCCTCTCCCTGGTCATTTTTATCTGGTCCTGTTGCACACAGCTTATAACCTGAAAATTAGCAGCAGCCTGTATGCCTCTTGCGCCAGGAGATGTGCGACTGCTCATTTGATGTACTTAATCAGGTGCAGCCTTTGTAATGGGAAAGAAATAGGGCCAGGCTTGATTGGCCTTGATGACATCTATGCTCCAATTGTCTAGAAAACCTCCAGCTTTAATCAATCTGCAGGATGATTCAGAATCTGTGGTGGCCGCCTGCCATGATTGGCTTTCTTCTCTGAAAATACCATTAAAAATGCAGGTATGGTTGTGAGAAAAGCGAGCTGCGTGTACTATATACTGATTGCAGTTCAGATTCAGTATAACTGCAGTCATTGCTAGTTTAGTTGTGCCTGCCAAATGCGAACACGGTTTATCATATGAAAATGTACCCCTAACCTAATGGGAAATCTAACTGCTTAGTTTTTCAGATGGAGACTAGTTAGATCTAAAGGCTATCTTTAAGAATCATCTTCTCCACCACAGTGACAGTCACCACCAGCGAAAATCACTGATCTGCCTTTTTTCAACTTTTATTTTGTGGTAGGTTTAATTATTTGTAGGCTAAAAAAACAAGTGCAAAAATGATCATTAGCAAATCAATACAGTTTGCTGTTGCTATTGTGTATAAATCAACAACTGAACTGAACGGCATTTGTAAACCCGCGTCGTGTGCCTCTGCAGCGCTTCGCCGATGGGCACGACGAGCGCCTCTCCCTCTTCCTCCTGCTGCGTTGCCGTGGCAACGCTCGCGGAGCGTCGGCTGCTCTGTAACGGAATGGAAAGGAAGATGGAGGAGAACACTGTTAGAGACGTCGAGACTGGTGTGTAAATACGAGCCGTAGCTTGCCTTTTTCTTCTTCGTCTTTTTTTTGTGTTACACTCAGAAGGACGCGCGGGCTGCCCAGATGTCTGACGTGTAACGGCCGCATGCTCCGGGCTCGCTACACGTCCCTGTTCTGACGCTAACGTGAAGTATGCTAACGCTTTAGCTAGCAGGCACAAGGATGTAAACAAGAGTCCTGTCACCCGTCTGTTATGAGCTGGGGTCGCTGCTAAAGACGTTTGGCAACCATAAAGCGGGACGTGCTGGCAATGTAACGTTAACTCACGGGAATATTACGGACAACTGCGGTCATGGTGACGTTAGCCATTTCCATTCGGCAGCAGTGCAGGTGTGGTGGCTACGAGGACCTGCTAGCTAGCTGTGTTACCTGCGGTCAGGTGCTCCAGTAAACCGCTGGGGAGCTAATAAGCTAGCTGACGGTAGCACCACAGGTTTATTGTGGTTTTTGTGCGTCACCCTCCCAAATTAAAGACATAATCCGTGGAAACTGTCAACTGTGTTGATAAAAAGAATAAATAAAAAAATACACAGGTGTTAATAATAATATCAACACTAGATACAATCTCAGTTTGGGAATATTCATGTTAATTTCTTCGATTCTGTAACACATTTTTAATGGATAACTCGATACCCTTCCCCCCGCCGAAGTACTCGCTAGAAAACAAACAACCTTAATTATGCTTTTAATGCAAAAACTAGTAATTGGGTCTTTTGTATGCATGTATGTAGAGATACAAACGAAAACACTTAATATGTTAACCTTGTTTTTTAAATGTACTGGTCTGTTTATCTAATAGCTACACAAAAATAACAACTGGTACAAAATAAAATGTGTGTCTTTTACTTTTCACACATTTGAGCAACATTGTTTATATTGTTCATTTGTGCTTTAAACACAAATAAAGATTTATTTCGACATTTGTGTTATTCAATTTATTCTCGCAACACCATTTTTCACTGCAGATCCACAGGTTTCTTTGCAGATTAAAGTGGACAAAAGTCACTCTTAGTGAGATGTCACATCCATTACTAGACTACTTATGAGTCAACATTTATATTTGATTATAATAATAATAATTATATATTATTTATTTATAATTTCGGTTTTGTGTTGGCAGAAGGCTCTGGATGGCAATATATGTTTTCATTTTACACTCAATAATTTAAACACTTTTATTCTGCATGCAATAATTATCTATTAGATACATCTTAAAACCTTTACATAAGTGAGATTCATCCTAATCCTACACATTGCACTTGTTTTTCAGAGAGTGAAGCTGGAGGCGAGGACGCCTTGGTGGGAAATGTGAACAAGCTGACAGTGAACCCACCAGGTTTCTCTGGAAATCCACGAAAAGGACATCTGGTTTTTGATGCTTGCTTCGAGAGTGGTAAGTAGTAAACTTGAGAAAGGTGCAATTGTTATTCCAGTTTATGTTTTTATACTGTATGTTTTATTGTTCTTTTCATGTTGGTGACATACTACTTTGGTATTGCGTAACTCTGTTACGGAGGAGGCTGCCAAAATGCGTAACCTCCCTGAGACCAAGATTGTAAACAGGAAAACACACTGCAAAGTTGTAGAATTCACAGACAGTATTCTGGATAAGGCTTTGCCTTGTTGCTGACATTTTATTTAACACATTGAAAAATCCATCAACCTTTAAACATTCCTATGTATGTTGGAAAACCTGGAAAAACTTTGAACTTGAAAATACTCATTATACTAATATCCTGGAAAAGATTCAGCTGTTTTGATTCAGGGAACTCTTAACTAATACTATTACTATTACTTATACTATTTAATATTGCTACTATGCTACCAATATTTGCTAAATTTGAAGTCTGTCTTACCGTGAATCTAAGAAATTAAAATCAATGTGCTTTGTATTGAAATAATAATATTGAAATGTAAGGTGGTTTACAGAACCTCCTACAAAATCAATAATAAGGGTGTGAGTACAAAAGCAGAAGGCATCTTTAGCCTATATAATTGTCTGAGTTTAATTTTATACAAGAGCAACCTTACTGAGAGATCTACCATCAACACTGTGACAAAGCTTTGCAACAGCATAATCGGGGACTTCATATAGCAACCCAGTCTCACAGCAAAACGTGTAATAGCTACGTTGTGGAATGTGGTATTCTCACGCTTTTGGGGAGAAAGCGTGAGAATACGTGAGTTTTAGTTGCAACTAGGTCACGTGACTATCAACTTCCCCTCAGCTAAAAAAAAGTGTGTGAGTCTGTGAAAAACACAATATTTTAAGAAAGCATCAGCATTTGTATGCATTTCGATGGCATTTCTAGCGAGAAGTATGCGTTATATTTTCAGAATCTTCTATCAGAGAATGTAGAAGATCGTTTATTAGTTTCTAGTGACGTAGTTAGAGGTTCATAGAGATGTGCCTTACACATCTTATGAATAACTGCAACTCAGCGACTTGACACAGGTCTTGTTTGAGCTAATTTCTTACAGTAATCTTCTACTCGTATTATTCTTGTACTGTGGCCATTATGGCTAAATTGAGAAATATGTTAAGTATACTTGAAAGTGTAATTAATATGTTTTCTTGTCCTGCTCTTTTCTTGGAGCTGGGCACATTAAGCAAGATTAAGTCAACGTGCAAAGTGTTGTTTGTTAATGGCCTTTGTTTGCCCCTTTAGTCTGACAGCTGAATGGTACAATAATGAAAATAAAGAAGTTATTAAGTGCTGAAAAGGTCAGTTGGGTAGACCCACACATCGGCACACCCAAGCAAGTGGACCAAGTAGTAGTCGTCAGATTTTATATTTCCATGGGTATAGAAAGATGAAGTTCAACTTCACCTTGTTTTTTGTCTAATGTCTGGCTGTTTTTTAAAAGTTGACTGTAACCATTACAACGTGTTACAGCAAGAGAACGCAAATAAGTGCAGTTGTCACATGTCAGGCGTGCTATTAAACAACTCACAACCACTCCAGTATGGTCATATGAAGGGATGAATTAGGAAACAGCGAATCTAATCCACGGTTTTGTTCACACAAGAGGTGCATGAAAATGAATGCACATGTAGCACAGCTGCGTGAAGTAACACCGGGAGGATTGTGCCGCGACATCAGTGTGGTGATTGCCCTTTTTATAAATGTGCCTTTTTCCCCAGATGACGTGGCCGGAGGAGCTCAGACATTGATTAATGGCCGGCGAGCTTGCACACTGAGATCAGCTAACATACCCGTGTCTCTGGCTCCGGATGTATCTCCTGAATGATTTATGGAATTGATATTAATCTCTTTCCAGTAAATGCATTACTAAAGTTACTATGGGGGATTAATTGATGTTTGCCAGCTAATGTCGAATGAATGCACTGTTGCTAGTTTCCTTTAAGCATGGAAGATTTGGTCCGCATTACTTTAAGAGGGAACTTAGATATTAGTTCATGATGGTTCTTTCAAAGTATACTCATGGTTTATGCCGGGCAGAAAATACTGGGTCTACTACTATAGTATGTCATTGTTATCCCTTAAAGCTAGGGTAGTTAACATTAGCGACACCAGCACATGTAAGATACATTTCAAAAGTTAACCATCCTAAAAACCCAGCCGAGTGGTGCAAACTCTTTTCAATTGAAAGTAGCCGTGCAGCAGCAGGTCCAACAGTCAACAGCCAAGACCGAGCCTTCCCTACTCAGTCCCTCCCCAAAAATGATCACGTTTATCATAAACAACAAAGATGGCTATTGAGCTAATAAACTAGCAGCTTAATGGAAGTTTAGAAATGTAGAGCCAAATAAATTGGCCATGGCTGTATTTTTCCTTAAATACAATTCTGATTGAGATTCTTTTCTCCTTTTTTCAAGGCATTTAATCTATTATTTGCTGTCGAAATGTTTAGACAACTTCAACAAACGTGTGGTAAAAAAAAAAAGGAGTGACTGTTACTGTTCAATACTTTGGTCCCCGTATAAATATGAAATATTGACATTGAATGAAATAGAAAGCTGACATTCTTTCTAGAAAATAAATTCTAAATGGGCTAAATCAGTGCAAGTGTTTATATTACAAGATCTATTAGAAGATCTACTTGATCATATATTAAGAGACTTTTTAAAACAACGTTTGATATTTTGGTTCATCTAACCAGGATTTTGTTTCTACTTTAAATTTAGTTCCCGTATTCACTTTGCATACAATTCAGTCAGGCTTATAGAACACGCTTATTCATACATTCAGTGTGATATCTGTGATACCAATGACAGTTGGGAAATAGGAGACGAGTGCGTAAGCTCCTGCATTGCGTGTTGGATGGCTGTTTATATTCCTTAGAGCTATTGAAATGGACTCTCGGGACGGTCTTGTCTATTTTACCCTCTCAAACCAGATTGAATGACGCATTTCAGAGGACTATCTTAGTTGAAATCCATGCAGGCCTATAACTCAGTGAAATTTTGTGCTCGCCCCACTTCTTTTTCTTCCCTCGGTCTACAGCTATTTGCATCCCGTGTGCCCTTTCATAAAGCGCAGATTTGAGTTTGTTGCGTCCGTAAAGCACAGAATAAAATCTATTTGCTTCATTAAAATAGATACTGGTTATGCAAGATGTTTGCCAAATGTATAAAACCTAATTTACATTTAGATGAGGCTTAATTCCCTTTGTTGTCAGTCCTGTGCTGATCAGAGTCAGTGAATGCCTGCGGATTCACATCTCAACAGGTCTCCCGACGCGGAGTTATGCTGAACCGGTAAAAGCCTTTTCCAACTTCTGTTTGATGAACATATAGTACTATGGCTGTTTTCTATGGTCATTGCAAACCTCCACTTATTGCTTAAGTGTAAAGAACAGTACACAAAGGCTCATTAACATATGCAAATACGTCTTTACTAGTTGAGATGGTCTTCTTATGCTACGTAGGACAATCACGGTGGAGAATATGAAGACTTTGTCAATGTGTAGACATCAAGCCCGGGCCCACTGCTGTGTATTGTGTCAAGAGGCAGAGATTCGTGCAAGTGATAAAAGCCGCCTAATTGTTTTTTAGAGTGAAATCCAAATGACATTGTTATCTTGTCTTGTCACATTTGTTTTTTGTCACACACTCCAACTGTTGACATTTTTTCAGCTAAGTCCCAAATTCTTTTCGCGAGCGAATCCTCACAATGTCGCATCTGCATCGACAAAAGACGACACGCGGCAGTGCGGGCTTATTGTTTTACTGCACCTCTGGATTCCGCTGCAGATGTAATTAAGCACTCATTGATTAGTGAGACTGCTGTCTGCCGACAATGACTTACATTGTCGAAGAAAGTGCCTCGGGGGGCGGGCTGTTTAATGGGGTCCATTGATAAGCACAAGTCATAGACTCATCTGGCTTCACAATCAATTCACTCAATACAATCCAACTTGTACGGCAGACCGGAGGGCAGGTGTGTGCATCGAGACTTTATGTCTGTGTTTGTAGGATTCAAATTGTTAGAGCCTTTTGAGATGTTTGGGGGGGGGGTTTCTCTGAATTGCTGAACTCACTATATTTGAACAATATTTCGCAGACCGGCCTTGAAAGGAAGGGGGTAGTCAGAGCATCCGATGGGGGTAGTCCAAGGCGGGACAACCCTCATCGTGCCGCAGGGAGGTGTGGACAAGCGGCTGTAGTTGGGAGAGAATCTGGTCATTTTTCAAAATAAAATATTTTTCAAAAAAAGAAGTCAAATGAAAAGTTGTTATTACCCAGTACCGAACCCACTTGTCTAGACTATCAGACATTAAATAAGCTTAAAATAAAATAATAAAAATCATTGAACAGTATTAATAAATTCATTTTATGAATGTCTTATCTGACCGACTCATGTCAACATCACATATTAGCAGCTGAAGGAACAAAGCAATCTCTCCCCCACTTCTTCGGATGTCATAAGTAATTGAAATGTTTTGTTTTTTATTTGTCCACTATATTGCCTATTTACTCTTTTCGTTCTACGTCTACGGAGGTGATACGATGTCTGCACATATTCTTTGCTGTTAGTTTGTTGGCTAATTATGCAACAATATCTGCCACACTAAAGTCAGAGGAGGGAACGCTCACTGCTGGCATGATCAATGTCTAAAGTAGGTCAATGCATTTGTTTATCCTTCATCCCAGGACTTTCTCTAAATGAGGATTTCCACCTCTGACATTATAGACCATGTAGATTCACTCAAGCGCTTCATGGACCGATTTTAAATCCCTCCTCGGTAATGATAATTGATGAAGAAATATATCCATTAAAGACGAGATAAGGAAAAAGAAAGATAGAGAAACGGCTGCCAGGAGATAAGTAATGAGGGTGAATGTTGAAGGAAATTTTTCCAGCCTTCACTAACGATGAAAGTTTCTTTGTTTTCTCCTTTTCTTCCCGCTCTTTAATTTTCTCGTTC